CAACGCCACCTACAACGGGCCGCCCGCCTCGCCCACCCTGTCGCACGACACCGCCGCCCTCGCGCAGGCCCGCCGCGGCACCTCCACCGGCATCATCGGCAAGATCACCTCCAAGTTCGTCCGCAGGTCAGTGCGCGGGGGACCGTGGGACTGGGGGGGGGTTGGCGGGAGTTTGGGAATCTGCCATCACGTGTTCCAGCACAGCCCCGAGCCCTCCTGCATCAAACGCACCAGGGGAAGCCCCCTCCGCTGTGAACTGTGAGCACTGAACACTGCTGAGCAAGTCGCCAGGCCTGGCTCATGGTTACACACAGGCGCCACACCTTGCACGGTTTTCCCCGAAGTGCTCGCTGTGCGCTCTCCGCTCTGCTGCCCTTGGAGCTGTCAGGCGGAGGGGATCTATGTGCATCTGGATGCATCTTGCTCACGTCTAGCAGGCACCCATGTGGAAGTTTACTGTCATGCACTGTGGTAAAAGCAGAGAGGCACGAAGTGAAATCACATTCACGCATGGAGAGGTGCGGCTGAGGGAAAAGTAACAGCGTACAAGCCATTGGAAACCTTCAGAGTTGCCATATATATTCACCACATAGTACATTTTCTGGAAGGTGTGGAGATCCATAAATATTTTAAGTCTTTAGAATTGGAAAACCTTCCTGAATGAACTTAAAAGAAGAAACTTCTGTCCTGTTTCTATTCAAGTCTTGAATAAACTGGGGAATACTTCTTTCCAGGCCCATTTCTTAGGTATATTTTTGTATTTCTGCTTTCCTGACTGCCATTTCCATTATGGTCAGCTCCAGGTAGGTACGCTAGGATCAGAACCAAGTCTATTTAGTCACAGTGGCAGCACTTTCTAGCATTTGAGAAAGAAGGACAAGTTTAATCTTGAGTTGTTTTGGGAAGGTAAACAAGTTAGAAAAGCAGGTTACTTTAAACCTTTATGTTTAATGAATGGTGTTTTTGGAGCATTTTTGTACACAGTGAAAATATCAAAAAGATGCTAAATGTAGATTGTACTTCATGGTAACATCACTAGAATATCAAAGCAGTAGTTTTTTCTATTAAAGTCATGAAGCAATACGGGTTCAATAACTACAGTATAAGGATGTTTTTTCATTTCAAAGAGAAGTGCTTGCGCTAAAGGTGGGTTCTGAGGTGCTTATTCATTTTCCCTGCCTGGGCTACCAGACTAGGATTTCCCATTAAGATTGCTGCTGAAAACAAGTGAAAAACATTCTTCAACACAGACTTTTTGTTTGCCAGCCATCTTTGAAGTCAGTCTCACCGAGGAAGTGTTAGGTTTCCTGTCAATAGTCATTCTGACAGATATGTTTATCGTGGTTTGTTTAAAAAACACGTTTAAGAGTGTTGTTTTACAATCTATACGATTTACAGTCTTGAAGTACAAGCTATGCAGTCTTCATTTCCAGAACAGGTTATTGAAACGTGTTTGCTGGATGTCCTTTTTTGAAGCTGTGAGGCATCTCCTTATTTCCTTGTTCTCAACAGTTGGACTAATGGCTCCTGATGTTCAGTGCTGTTGTTGAGAAACACTGCAGTAGTGACTGAACTAGTCCAGGGAACTAGACACACCCTTCAATTTTTACACACTTAGCCAGACATAAATTAACATTTTATTTTAATTTTAGTACCTCTACATTTATGTTATAAGGGCACGTATGGTGATCGCTTTTTTGTGGACTGCATTACAGTTCACATCACAACATTAAAATCCAAAAAGTGCGGTTTCCATCTTAGCAGAGTACTATGGAACAGTTCTTTTCTGTTGCTCAGGCTTTGAAGTCCTTTCCTCAGAAAATAAGTTTTCACTCTTGCAACACGATAAGAAGTATCAGATAGTTTTATGCATTAAAGCGTTAAAACGTTGTTTTTCTAAATAATTGTTTTGGACCTAGCAGAATGACCTCAACAGTTGGCTGTGAATTATAATCCCGGATGGCATCAGTGCTGTTTATTTTGTTTTGGGGCCTTGAGTTCTGTATTTAACAGTAACAGAACAAAGAGACTCTGTTCTCCGAGGTTCAGACAAAGCGGAGCTTCTCTGCAGTTGTTGGTGATGGAGAGAGGTGTTTACGGTATGTCCTGTTGAGCCTGCTTGCACAGTCTGTATTGAACCAGCAGTGACATGGATTTGTCACAAACACTAAAGAGATGAGTATGCAGTTGTGCAGCTGGTAATGTAGACTTTTCATGACTTCATGTTAATGTTTGCTAGGGTGTTTCTAGCAACTAGTTTAAACGAGTTGAATTATTGCAAAAATCTGTTTTTATAGAAAATAAACAGTTGGTGCCTGGCTGCTGTTTGTGAATTCAGTTGGTTTTGGTGTCTAGTGAGCGCTGCTTTCTTATAGATTATGAAAACCAAGCTAGGGTCCTATTTTCTAGAAAGTATTTGCATGATTTTTTTTCTTCATGTATCTCCTTTCAGCTGTTGAGCTCTGGTTTCAGATTAGCAGTAATACCTTCGTCAGTCGCCTTCTCATTTTCTGGAAGCTCGGGATGTTTTTTGGCAGGCTGTGTGTGTTTTGTCAGTAAATGATCATTAGAGAGGTGAGCATTAGCTTCCGGAATGTACCCATTTTCCACAAACCAGTCCTAGTCTAGATACCAGGACAAGAGATACAGATGCAACTGTACTTTGATTTGAAACCATTTTAGCAATGATCTGTCTGTAAACTGCTTATGTTAAGCATTTTTTATCACTATTAAAAGCCATGCAGATCCTTACAGAGCTATTATCACCGGATCTGACAGTTTTACAAGTGCATTTCTTAGGAAATGCCTTGCAAAAGGGCTCAACCCTTTCCAATAATTTCCCGTTTAGGGAATTGCAAATGACATATACATTTTCTTCCTCTGGTGCTCCCTAATTTCTTCGGACACCTTACTGGTTTTCTTTTTTTTCTATTGTAGAACTCTATCTTTCAGGTTGTCCAGAAGGTAGGACCAAGACTGATCTGTATTGCGCACTCTGTTCCCTGGTTGAATGAACTGCACTTGTCCCCCTCCAGTGCCTGGGTTGTGTCTGTGTATGGTCCCAGGCAGTGACACCTTTCCTCTGTTCAAGCACTTGCTGTCCTGTTCTATTCTTAAATTGCACGGTTTCCAGATGATCACTTCCAATTTGTAACGCGTTACCTTAATCATACAATATCATCCCTCGTCTCCTCGTCTCATCTGTGTTGTAACCAATGTGTTTGATAGAATTTATGTCAGTAAATCCAAATCTAATAATAATAATAATTGCTTACACTTATATAGCGCTTTTCTGGACACTCCACTCAAAGCGCTTTACAGGTAATGGGGACTCCCCCCCACCACCACCAATATCTCTGTTTCCAGCAGGAGGGAGCAGGGGAGAGGCAGTTTTGCTAGTTCAGAATGCAGAATACTTCATTTTTTATTTCCTTCCTGATTAACATACCTTTTTTTAGTATGTGTGAGGGTTCCAAAATCAAGCTTCTTACTGGTGGAATTTCCACTGGTGCTTTTGAAATTTCAGGCTTGAACTTAAGTGCTGTAAGAATTTACTTTAATTATGGGTTGTAATAGCCTGTGGTTAGTGAATGCTAAGGCAGACTGTCATGTGAGTAAATAGGCTGTTTTCTGCTGTTTATTTGCAGATTGGGAGACAGCAGTGTAAACCATATGAAAAGAAAAATAATCATCTTTGCCCGGAACCCCAAGTAAAGACAACAAACTAAAATAAATCACCTAACTAAGAAACTCACAAGCAGTAGCTTAGTGGTACATTAATGTTGTAATTTGCACATATATATAATACTGAGGAGCAACACTGACCTTCACTGTCCCTTCATTGAACTGACTATAGTGGAACAGTCAGGCAACAGTTGAGAAAGTGAAAAGGGCAGTTTTCAGATCTCACATCACAGGACACAAGGTGAACAAAAACAAACTACATGAGAATTCCGATATAAAATGTTCCGTTCCTGTAAAACTGAGAAACCCCTGCATTTTGCTGAACAATTGAAACCCTCAGAAACCACCTTCAACTGATGTGCAGTAGTGTTAAATTGTGGAAAAACAGATTTTTAGTCCATGTGGTTTCTGTGAATTCCTTGGTATTTTGAATAACTTTTTGATCCAGGAGCAGAGAGCATGGTCATTTCTTTAAGAAACTGTAATGGGCAGAGCTTTTGGTTCACAGTGAGTTAATCAGTATATGTGCATTCTCTGGGCTTTCTAAAGGTTCTGTTGTTGTGCTTGTTTAAATAGACAGTAGACAGTGCAGTGATGGGGTACTCATTTCTGGTGTTTAATGGTAGTTACTACTTTTTTTATTTATGTAGATTGGTTTAAAACAGATTTGCTTTTGGGTAACTAGTTTTTTTAGGTCACTATTCATATTTTAGAAAATGTACAAGAAAATATTTTTGAAGTTTGTGTTCCCTGTGTTACTGAAACTATATGTAAGAACTACATTCCACATGTTGATGAAAAAAACATTCTATATCAATGACAAACAACTGAAACACATGGGTGTAAGGCATTATTTCATTGATACTGTTCAATAGAATCAGTGACATTTGCAGTAAAACAAATTATTGTAAGGTATAGTTATAGTTATAGTAGTCGTGAACTGTTCAAAGTATTAATCCTAACTGTTTAGCCACCATCTCAAGCCTACTTCAGTTGTATAGATGGCTTATAACTGGTAAGGAAATATACAGTAAATGTGGGTTAAATATTTACTTAAATAGTGATTGACACAGTTTAAACTCATATGATGTCATAATTCCAAGATTAAATTACAAATGTTGTGTCAGTTTCTTTCCAGGGAATTTCCCAACAAAATATCTTAAATTTAAATATCTTAAATTACATCATGGAAACGTAAGCTAAAAATGTTCAGCAATGCAATATTAATTTTTCTACTAAGCTAAACACCTCAAAGAGATTTTTAATGTTTCATAATATGTCTGTTGTTCTGTAAATGTGAGTTTTATGAGCTGTATGTTTGTGCTGTTATTTCTGTTACTTTGCTGTTCCAGTTTCCTTCATGTCTTTTTAAATGTGGTACTTCTCCAGCCTAGCTTCTTTTTTAATTGAGTTTAGGAGGTTAAGCAGCTACAACTAATGAACAGCTTTACTGTCATGTATATGTTGTAAAACGTAGTTCTCGTCTGAGTGCCTATGTGTGTTTGCTTGTACAATAAGGAATCCCAGAAAACAACTAGCTCCAGGGAGCCCAGCGGTGGTGGTTTGTAAAGTTAGGAGCTGCTGTTTTTCCCGTCTGCCTGTGGACACTTGCCTGCTCCGATACTGAATCTTAACTCTGATTGTTTCCGAGGGGTCCGAGCGAAGGGGAGGCCAGTGGCAGAAGTGACACCTCAAGGTGAGACGCCACTATTGACGCTTCGCTGGGCCATGAGCCATTCTTCTGCAGTGTGTCGACAGCGGGCTCGCACCCAGGACGTATCGGGGCTCGGGTGCTGGAGGGGCAGAGGTTGGCGGCGCTAGTAGGGCAGATGGGGGGAGCTGGTGATAAACGCAGTCAGGCTGCTGGGAGCCAGAGGAGGAGCGTTGTCTAGGCTTGATTTGCCTCGTATGCCTCTCCACAAACTGGGGCGGAGCGGTGGCTCTGTGGCTCAGGATCTGCGCCTGTGGCTGGAAGGTTGACGGTTCAAATCCCGCAGCCGGCAGAGGAATCCTACTCCGTTGGGCTCCTGAGCAAGGCCCTTCACCCCAACTGCTCCAGGGGCGCTATGTAAATGGCTGACCCTGCGCTCTGACCCCAAGCTTCTCTCCCTGTCAGTGTGTCTCATGGAGAGCAAGCTGGGGTATGCGAAAAGACAAATTCCTAATGCAAGAAATTGTATATGGCCAATAAAGTGATCTCTCCCTCTCTAAACGGCAGAGGCCAGGGGAGGTAAGGACTTCTCAGGTCATTGATCCAGTGTCACTCCCCGATCAAGTCTTCCAGGTGAACAGGGGGCACTCACAGAGCACTCTTAAACATGGATCAGAAAAGCAAAATTTCCACTGTTAGTGAAATAACTTGAAAGTATGAAACTGGGAACTATAATCACTGCAGCTCAGGAGTGAGAGGAGGGGAGGGCTACAAGACACTGTTGGATAAAATATTGTATTTCTTTTTACTTTTTACTCACAGACAAGTTCCAGTAGGAAGGCCCAAGTTCAAACTCCATCTTGAGCTGTTTACACATTCCACTGCAGTGTCATCACACATTTCTTTAAAGGCTGCTCATGCCTCATTGATCACTGAAAGCACTTTGTGTGGAGACAGATGCTTGTCATGGTAAAGCTTCCACGTGGAAGCCCCATCTGTCTTGAATTCCTATGCAGACTTGAGCTGTCAATTTCCCGAAATTAAAATTGAGCGCGGCTTAATTTCCCAGATTCTGTTTTTGTACTTCCTGCCATAGCATGTCTTTTGTATGTGGAGTCCATTCCTTTTTACTAACAAGTTTAACATCTGAAGTATTGAAAGAACCTGACAAATTGAATTACGTGTTGCTCCATGTGCATATCTAAGAAAAAAGGGCAGGAACACGGGAGAGCGCATGACCTAGCTTCTACTTAACTGTGGCTTAAACATTTTCAGATGACCTTGTATCCAGTGCAGAGTTTCAGGCATGTTGTGTGGCACAGGAACCGTGGGGGTGAAGATTAGGGGTGGCATCGTAATATGGTGTCCAAAAAAGCAAATGTTGTGGTGGATTGCAGCTTCTTCAAGTGAATTTGGAGAATAACACTTGTGTGCAACTCTGTGATGTCTTGGCTTTTTACTCAAGGGCCACAGAGAACTGCATTCCGCATTCACTGAGAAATGCGTGTGGTGCTCAACTGGTCCTTTAAAAAAAAAAACATTAAAACATGGGAAAAACATGTATTTCTCTGTCTTTGCACCCCAGAAAGTGATGTCACTACAATGTTGAGGTGCAGTAATTGCACCTCATTGCCTGCAAGCCATTTTTTTGTTGTTTGTTTAGAACTTCCAGATCTTATCTAATCCCAGCAGACACCTCAGAGGTGTACAACGCAGATTAAGTGCAGGTTTGTTCAGGAGATTGAGGAAGTTCAATAGATGTTTCTGTTTAAATGGCAAACGTTTGTGTGCTGTGGAATTTCTGCTTTTTGTGTGTTTTTCAGGATGCATTTCTGAAATCTAACATTTCAAAGTATTGCAGTTGTAGAGCCAGTTATTTAATCCTAATAAGGGTTAAAGGCTGTTGTTTCAGTTCCTCTTTTAATGTTGTCGAACCTGTTTGTAATTTTGCCATTAGCCCTATAATTCTTTGTTGAGTCCAATAGAGAGTCCTCCCCCCAAGACAATCTGATAAAATACTGGAATGCAGGTTTTAAACAGGCTTTAAAGAAAGCATTCACTTATGAGTATTTTTCCCATATTTTATTTGGTTATCTTTCGAGATTACAAGCCCTGTAGTAAGGTACAGGATTTTCAGCACCTCTTGGTGGAGAGGCAAGTCCCTCGCTGGTGTGCCAGAGAGACTGCAGGCACCTGGGCAGTCACAGGGTGGTGCTGTTTCTCCCAGAGCCATGAGACTCCTGTCTGCTGCATCAGAGCCATTTCCTGAGCCATTTGTGCACTGTCACTGAGGGAATCCTGCTCACTGGTCAAGTCACTATTTCTGTCACTGATGCTTCAGATGCTTAGGGATAGGAAAGTGAGGATAAATGCGAAAACAAACGTCATTCTGCACGGCAGCCTTCCTTTATGTGTCTCCAAATTTAAAGTGAAGCTGACATCATGCTGTTGTCCTGTCTTCTGCTATGCATTTAAAAAGGAACATATGGGCCAGATGATATCTATACTGTATACACCACAAGCTGTATCTTAGACCATCATTGTTCTCTGACTGCTCTCATGTGCGTGTGGTGTGTTACGCTGAGTTTCTAGAGGAAGTTCTTTAGTAATTGCCTACTCCACACGTTCCGTTAAAGGAATTTGTTTAATATACATTAAACTTTAAAGCTCGGCAGGTGAACACAGTGAGGCCATCTGAGTGCATGTTTTGCATGGAGGATGTGTGCAAACATACATGTGCTGTGATAAGTCTGTTTGCATACATCCATAAATATGGATGTACATATTTATGAGAGATTTGTTTCCTGAGATCTGAATGGCTTTCTGTGCATCTGGTGTCTGTAGCAGCACCTGACACCACAGCGGGTGTTATGTCGACTCGGTGATTCCTTTCCGTGTTTTTGAAGCCCTTACGTTCACACGAGGACATGATGCAAAAAGTGATGAGTTGGGGCTGTTACAAACTTTACAGTATCAATAACAGTGTCCAGAAAGTCTGAAAATGGTTTTGGATTGCATTGTGCTTTTGTGTTTTTTAGGTTAAGCTGAGCAGTACGTTCTGCGCTTACCGGAGCAACATAAAATAACACGCTAGAATCATATGTACTGTAACTGTAACCTACACCAAACAGTTCACATCCGGTTTCCCTTAAACAAATCTGTTCAGTTCAGCACTCGATGAGCAGCTGCATCATGTATTGTTTGCTGAATTCTGATATTGATTACATATAGTTCAAGCAGGGAGCTGCGTCAGCATGCGTAGGCTGCAAAGGAACGAGTAAAGGTTTATTCCCTGCTGAAAAGAGACAACACTTCAGCTTTGCATTTCTTTTTTTTCTCTTTTCAGCATGGAATAAACCTTTACTTGTTCCTTTGATGACATATACTTTTGTTTTGCTGATTTAAAGACACTTGCTAGATGAGATTCTTTAATATCAGAGAAAGAGGAGAGCGTTTGCTTTGTGGGGAAATTGTTGCGTTTCTGCTCCATGGGGAGGGGAGGGGAGGGTGATCGGGCAGTCCCTCGCTGACCACACTTTCCTGCCTCCCACAGAAGCACCTCAGGGGAGCCGAAGGACCGCGACAAGGAGGACGGCAAGGACTCGAAGCCGCGCTCCCTGAGGTTCACCTGGAGCATGAAGACCACCAGCTCCATGGAGCCCAGCGAGATGATGAGGGAGATCCGCAAGGTGCTGGACGCCAACAACTGCGACTACGAGCAGCGCGAGCGCTTCCTGCTCTTCTGCGTCCACGGCGACGCCCGGCAGGACAACCTGGTCCAGTGGGAGATGGAGGTGTGCAAGCTGCCCCGCCTCTCGCTCAACGGCGTGCGCTTCAAGAGGATATCAGGCACCTCCATCGCCTTCAAGAACATTGCCTCCAAGATCGCCAACGAGCTGAAGCTGTGAAGCCCCCGCTTGATGGCGGCTCTCCTCAGCGGGATCAGGGTAGACTCCAGCTGTCCACCGTGTCGAATGTACTGGTGTTTGAGGCTACTGCAGTGTGTCTGGCCAGTGGGGGAACAGAAATCAAAAAAACAAATGAGGAAAAAAACGATTGTTCCCTTTCCACCCCCCGCCCCCCCCCCCCCCCCTCGCTGTGTGGAAATATCCCGGCTACAGTAACAGCCCTCATCGCAATAAAGTTCAAAGTCGGCTATTAATGATCTGTAAGATCCAGTTGCGAATGCAGATTTCTCATAGACAAGGCAAACACTTCTCTTTTTCCACATGTACAGGTAAATATGTAGAGCGTTCTGTTCACAGTTTTATGTTCATAACATTGTATAATATGATAATCTTATAGCATTATAACACCTACAGGTCTTGTATAGTTGTCTTGATTTCTGTACAGAAAAATGTATGTTTTATGTCTAATACTGTGTAATTTTTTTGAGCTTGAAGTTCTTCCCTAATATTGTCGTCATCCGGTAGATTGTTTATCTCCGCCGTGTGTTTTTTTTTAATAAATGTTTTAAACTTATTTTTATTCTCATAAGTCCATTTTAAAAAAACACGTACACACAAATGTATTTCTTTTTTTTTCCCCCCTATTTGGAGCCGCAGAGCTGTTACAATATTTGAGGACCGTGTAGAATGTATGTGTATTGAACAGCAGGAGCCCTGTGCATCCCGAGAACTCGGCTTTCCCCTTCATTCCTTGGCATTTTAATCATCTGATTTCCCAGCCAAAAAATAAAAAAAGCTCCAGAAAAAAAAGATTGTAGATTCAGTTGTAGCACTTTGAAATAGAGATGTCTATTGAGTTTCTCCATCATCAGGTACAAGTGGATATTTTGACAGCTCTCATACAGTTGCACAAGTCCTCATCCTGCGTGAACGTCACTGTGGGAAACTGATGTTCATTGACAAAGGATGATCATTTCTCTCCTGTAACCCTTTCCTGGCTGTGAGAGATCATACTTCCATCTATACCAGTAGCTCTTGAATCACCTGTTCAGTGATTGTACAGTTCCTTGTCCCGGTTTAACTTGTTTGTGCTGAATATTTTTAGCGGTTTTCTTGTATTTATTCCACCACATTAAGCCTGTAATGTGCTGCTTTGTAATTATGAGGCATTCACCCATAAGAAATGAAAAAAAGGTAATTAGGAATTTTTTTGGTTTGATTTAGGTTTTGCTTTCCCTTTGTAATTAGTGATTTAAAAAGTATGTAAAACCACTAGTACTGGTACATTTATACTTGTTATTTTGTACTGAATTAACCGTTGAGGTTAACTGTGCAATGCTATTCCATGTTGTATTACTGTAATACTGACATTTGGTCCCCCATTCACACACTTTCTTGTGAAATGTAGGAAATTTATAATTTAAAATGCTAAAAAAGAAGCTGTGATAATCTCTGGAACCATTATGAAATGGAATGGACATCTGTGTTGCCTTCCTGCAGGGGCATTATGGGAAAACAAGGAGGACTGTTTATGCTGTGTTGTAGTGTGTGATGTAGCTTCCTTCCTGTAATGGTACTGTTCCAGAATGGACATTCATTTTGTTGCCTTAGCAGATAACAACGCTCAGAAGCAAATCAAGAAGGTAAAAATGTACCCACAAGCCCAATCCCCTCCCCTTACCTAATGTTCATTTAAGGACAGTTTGATGCAAGTCATCTTGATTCGGTATCACTGGTGCACAATATTAAAACTTACTTGAAAGGAGTCTCAAATCAACGTGTACTGTCGTCATTTTTTATTTACTAATCACACTTATCAATATCACACCCTTAGCATAGTGTCAGAGTTCACAATCTTACAAAGTACTGATAAAAGATACCAGGTGTCTTTGGTAGAAGTCTCACTTTCACAGGCAAACCTTGTAGCTGGAGGACCAGTGTATCCTGTCCTGCCTCGATTTCTGCTGCTCTGGAGATACAGGAGTGCCTATTTCAAACCGGTACTGGGTGAGAGAAAACATGCTTGGTGGGGCACAGGTTGTTAGGTTCTTCAGCTCCAGTACCACATGCACAAGTCAAAGCACAAATGAACCTTCTCACAAACCTCTGCCCAGCATGCCTCTTGTCTCAAGTCATCCATGTGACATTAAACGACAAGTTGAGGTGTTATGGCAAAGCTCCTGGTTGGACGGCTTTTAAAAGCTGTTGACAATGTGAGCAGACGTATCCGGATGTATTTTTTCATGTGTGGTTCAATCACTGTGGACTGGAGGCTGGTAGGCATAGGCAGGAGCTCATCATGAAAGATGTAATTTAATAACCCTCTCTTTTAAAGTAGCTTTGTAGTGTCATAGAATTGAACTTCACTTGGTTTGTAACTTAGTGACTGGGGAAAGATACATTTGTTTTCATTTAAACAAGGGGATCTAGGGTGTGGAAGAACAATACTGGATCAGCTCTTGGCTTTGGGGTTTGATTCCTGCCTGGAGCATCTTCTGTGGAGTTTGAATGTATGTATTTTCTACATGTGCTCTGGCTTCTTTCTACCTTACAAACACATGCCGACTTGGATCACTGGTAAGTACGTTTCCCCTGTGTGCTCAGCTATGGACTGGTGTCCTTTCCAGGGTGGTACCCTGCTTTGCTCCTTATGTATGCTGGGTTGAGCTGAGACCCTGACCTTCTATAGCAAGACCAGGCTATGGATAGACCTTAAAAGCAATTTATGACACAAACAAGAATGTAACCCATGAACACAGTTTCCCTGTAAAAAAACGAGTGAATGAAATGAGTGTGCTCGCTTTGAATATTTAGTATTTTAGTATGAATTAAACCGTAATGTAACAATCTAAAAGGAGAGCTCATTGCAAAGGGAAGCCTTTCGCGTTTTTGTCCAAAGTCGCATTTCAGGCAGTTTGGCTCTCTCTAGTATCCGTAGGTAACTGGTGCTCACCCGGAAGCAGAAGACTGAGGTCAGCAGGGCTGCATGTAGAGTGTTCACACTGCTGCACTTAGGGAACAGAAAGGCGAGCGTAGGAATTTTGTGGAAAAAAGGTATGCTTTTTTTTTTTTTTACTCCCTTTCTTTTTCCCCGGGAACTTAGAGATAAGTTATCTTTCACAGTTATGGTTGCAATTGATATATGTATGTACGTATGTGTAAATACATGACGTTTTTTTTACTGTGGTATAAGTTAGCCTCATTTTGAAATTACGTTTATTTGTGGAACTCTTTGGCGTCTACCTACACGGCTGTGAGCTGTAATAGTCACTCGCCTTTACACAGCTGAAAAACAAAACTCGGTTTCTAAAACCTTTGTAAGTGTTGGGTTCGGTGTGTGGACGCGTTAGTCTATATTGCGAGCAAGGTCAACTGTCTACTGACTTGAGTATCTTTGGATAAAACTTACAGAAACGCGTATTTTGGTTGTACTTGATTCAGTAATCTAGCGGGGTACCAAATACATTGTCCAAAAATGCTTTTTAAGCAGTGCTTTTCTTTTAACTATATGCTTAAAACCTACTGCATTCATATTTTTTGGTATGCCGCTGTTTTTACCTGGACACTATGAACAAAGTTTACAAAAAGCGCTTTAATTTGCCTGTCGGTACAATTTTCTTGCTACACTGTGCTTGCCTTGAAACGGAAATGAAAATATTGTAACAACTGTAGTCGCTTCTGGTGCTAATAACTTTAAAGTTACTTAAATGCCCAGAGTGAAGTGCCTATCTCATTTGTACAAGAGCGGCACATCTTTCCTGTTGTCCAAAGTCCCGATTGCAATTAATAGTGATGAACAGGTGAAAGTACTGTGCAATCGACTTTTACTCCACATTGATGCCCCCTGAACTGCCTTAAATCTAACTGGCTACCACAGTTTTGTGATACATAGTTCAAGTAGAAGAATACAAAAGAAGCATCTCCTTATTCGTGAACCCAGACCTTTAAGCCAGAGAGGTGCATTTGTCATGGCAGCTATGGAGTTATCAAAGCAAGGTAGCCAGTAGAAAAAGTGTGGCCTTTCTTTGTAAAACAATGTGTGTGTGTGTGGGCAGAGATGGACTTTCTTTTGTTTTCCACACAGGGGTATGTAGTAGTGCCTTTGCCCCTGTACTGAGGAAGTGAAAACAGGCTTTGTTAACCTGCCTACCCATCAAAGCAGTTAAAAGTCATTGAAAAGGGTCGTTTGACTATTTTGTAGACAAAATAGGGGGATCAGCACAAATCCGAGCCCTGATCCTCAATGACATCAAACCTACAAGCCCCTGTTTTGCTACCAGCTCAGTCGAAACCCTGCCCACACCGAGCCAGCTATGCACTGCTGCTTGGGGGGGGGAACCCAGGCTCGAACCTGCCACATCCGGAGCACAGGGCTCCTCCAGCTCTCAGAAGGAAGCTCTTTACAGGTGGGCCCACTTGGGAGAGCCCTGAGCAAGGCTAACATCATAGCGGATGCCGAGACGATTCCACTTTAGGAATTGTGCATGGCCTCCCCATTTACAGGTTTGAATTTTCCAAAATGAGGGGTAGGAGTAGATTTTTGGAAAGGTTTGTTTGGCAATCTGCGGAAAGGGCAGTTGTGCCTGACTTTTTAAATCGGGATTTTAAAGGCCTCTTTTCCCCCGCCACCGACTGCAGGCCCGCTGAGATGTTCCTCACGGCGGTTTTGCTCCGAAAGGGCATTCCGGGGAAGCAGTGGATTGGGAAGTACCGGCGCCCCCGGCAGGTCACCTGGCAGATGCAGCGCAACGTGGTGAAGAGGCTGGAGGTGGAGGCGGGGAACGAGTACTGGCTGAGCCGCCCCTGCATGACCAGGGAGCAGGAGCGGGGCCACGTGGCCGAGCGCCGCCTGCAGAACTGGCTCGGCTTCAAGGCGGCCAAAGCAGCGAACTTCCCCGAGCATCGGTTTGTCACGGATCATCTCAACCACTTGAACGTCACCAAGAAGTGGACGGTCTCCTAATGCCCTTGAACTCTGGGAAAACCCTTCAGAAAGACCAGAGGAGAAGATGAAGGGGTGTCGGGCACTTAAACCCTGAGCATTTGTTTGCGCTTCATTGTGGGATGTCATTCGAACTGCTGGGAGGTTTTGTTCTTGCTGTAACAAATGCAGTGAAAATCCATACCTTTTGTTAACCTATTTGACATTGGTTGTTTTGTCTCATTGGCTGAATTCACATGTCTCTGAGCTTGGGAATGTGTATATAATGTAGGGCTGTAATGCTCTGGCTGTATGAGTCCGTTTCAAATGAGTTTAATCTGACCGGGATACGTTTAGGTAAATGTCATCAGGATTTGCTGCTCAAAAATGTGTGTACCTAAGTTATAGTCTGCTTAATAATGTGAGGTATTAAAAAAAAAAACAGGAGTATGCTTTCCTTATTGAATGATAACATCTTTTGAATCCACACCTGTACAGTTATACTCGAATTTTCAACGTCTGTTAAATGTACATTTAGTCATGTATGTGAAATAAAGACATTTTGTGTTCAGCTATCTACAGTGTGAATTTCGGTTCTCTTGTTTATTTGTTTTTTTAAACATTTACATTTTTTGTGTTAAACATCTACCGTTAAAAAAAAAAATTAACACTTGCTTAAAAACCTGAAACACTTCTTCCTTTTCAGAGCAAATGCTATTTAATGTGGAGCATAGTCTTTGCTCAGCGGGTGAGTTGTCAAATTCTTTCTCTGTGAATCAGGCACATGCTGACAGGTTCTTAGTTCCTTTTAGACACCCAATGGTTGTCCTTTATTCTCATATTGAAGTGCAATGCATTTGCTATTTGCTTTGATACAAGCATCACTGAAGCAGAAACAGTTCCTGCTTCACCCAGCGTGACATGTTCCGTTTTTGTTTCCCAAGGCCCTACTTCTGAGCAGGCATGAGGTGTTTGATGGTCCCGCCTGGCTGCTCCAGCGTCTTGTCCATGAGCAGGAGCAGTTTCACCCCGTCCACCAGCAGCTGCAGCAGCTCCACTTCGGTGAAGCCGATGGTCTGTGCAGTGCAGACCTCAAAGACACCACCGCCTGCAGAGCCTGTCGAGCGAGACCAGACAGGAGGTAAGATCTGTTGCTCGTTTAATCAGAAAGATGCCCGTTATCTGTTTTTCTGCCCCTGTTATCCATTGCCCCTGTTACCTCTTACCAGAAACCTGGCGAAAATCAGGTTTCTTTTAAGAAACCTCCAGGTGAAACATTTGATTGGGATTGAACTGAAGTGCTTGAAGGGCATACTATACAAATTCAGCACCACATTATTTGTGACCTTTAGTTCTAATTTTCTCCATCAGGCCTGTGGATGTATTATATTTCTAAGGGAATCTGAACTGGCATAACCTGCTTAGGCAGTCACTGGTTACAAGTGTCACTGTGTATTACAAGGTATGTCCTCAACTGAAATCTCATCATTTTTAGCTTGAGAAAAAGAGGTATGGTTTTCGTAGTTTTTAAAGGGGAAATGCACCACTTTTTATATTTTGGGGTTAGCAAGAATCGGCATTGAGGAGTGCATTTCAAACTACAATAAAAGGAAAACGCACACAGTAACTTGTAAAACCTCCAGTTTTCATCACAATATACACAACATTTCCAGCTTTGCGCTGTGCCATATTCTACAATTCAGAACGCGGCCAAAAAAACGCCAGTGAGGTGAAGTGGCCCTATTACTTTGTAAACAAGAAGGCCTGTGGACACATCTCTTTTAATCCAATATAAATACTGCTCTTGAGTTTAAGACAGTTTAGCACACAAATACTACTTGTTAACTCTGCATGCAGATCACAAGATCACGTTGGAACATTTCTGCGGTGAAATGTCTGCTGCTCAAACTGTACATATTTGCTCGTACATCACAGTACAGTAGTTACAGTGACTAGTGAGCAGGAAGGGCTGCGTCATGTTGTAATCCGTGGGGGCTCTCGCTCTCGCCCGTGGTCAGACCAGGGGTTTGCAATAACATGGCGACTTAAAAGTACTTTCACAAAGCTCGCAGTTTTGTGCTTAATTTAACATTTGTAAACAATTTCTATACTGTCAATGAAGTTATTCTGTTACAGAGATTTAATAACTGGGAAATTGGGTCTGGGAAATCGGAACTGCTGTTTTGCTTTAAAATTGATCACATCAGTTCATAAAATTGCCGACAGCTGTGTAACTTCAGGGGTCTGTTCCGAGGCTGCTGAAATGTAGCAGCAGGTGTGCTGAGCGGTCGGAGGTGTGAAGTACCTGTGTTGGCCATTTGTAGGCGCAGTCTCTCCAGGATGTTTCCCAGCTGCTTGTGCTGGTGGAGGTGCTTGAGCCTCACCTGCATGCTGGCCCTCAGGCCGGTCCCCACCTGAGCTGGAGAGCTCAGCACGTACCCAAGGTGCTCCTTCCATATGAATGGGTGCCCCATCCTCTTGTACAGCTCCTCCAGCTGAGAGTGCAACAGAAGCCGGGAGATGAGATGGATGTGCTGCTGCAGTGTTTCCAGTAGTTGTCATTTTCTAATTGTAATTTTCCACTTTCATTCCGTAAACAACTGCAGATGTGTGTATGATTTCATTCACAAAAATAATCTTGCTTATGTACATAGTAGAGGAGTTCAAGCATGAATTGGTGGCATAATTCCAAAATAAAAAGGATACCATAACCACAATTTTAGATAACGATTGTACAACAATATAGGTTTGTAGAACTCTTATTTATTTGCTTGAGCTGTTTATTGCATACATGCTAAGAATTGTAATTGTAATTGTACACCAGGTATACTACAACACTCAAAGACGTACACATCCTGCCTTCTGCATAGTCTGCATGTAGTAAATAAGACATCACTGCTCTGTTGCTCTAAACTCACCTTCTGCAGGCTGACACACAGGCATTTAAATGCCTCTTTAATGTTGCAGCCTGTGCCTGTACAGACCAGCTGAAGGTGATCCTCCACGTTTACCCAGACAACTAGGCTTTTGTCCTGACTGGTCCTGTGAATAAATTATGCAAGTGTACATCACTTCTTGCATACATCTGAGCATATTGTACGGCCTCACACTAAAACATTTTGCTGTGGTGATACGGTTTATTACATATGTATGTATAGCTCTTGTGCTGCTGAAAAATATGCATTACTGAAGCAGTTTGAGACTCTTTTGGTGGGGGGTGGGGGTGGCTGTGTATTTTTGGCTGATGTCGGTGGCTGAAGGGTTAACCAAACCATTTTGCCCGAGCATCAGGCCAGTCCCTCGCCACTCCGGTCCTTAGCATGGCTTCTGAAGGGATGTCCAAGGAGTGCCCTGCCAGCTCCTGCAGAGAGTACAGTGTACCTCCTGCTTCGCCATCCAGGTGGCTAAGGGCTGAACCAAGAAACCCTGCGTTTAGAGACTCCCAGCTACAGGCACTCCAACCCATATGAAACTGTTTACAATGTCCCGAATCCCTAGTGGACTATACATCTTTCATCTAACCCATGGTTCTTCTTGATTTTAAAATTTTAGTTAAAAAAAAACCAGTAATGTATTTCAGATATAGCCACGTGTGCACTGCTATCCAGATTCTCCAGGTATCTCTGTGGACGGGAGGGGGAAATATTGTACCTGTCTTGGCCAGCGAGAGAAGCCGTCTGCGCTCTCCTCTGCTGCAGTGTGGTGGGAAGGAGAAGCCTTCGACACAGCGCCCTGCACGCACCTCACAACTAACTACACACTGGCTGTCCAGTTCATCCCACCCCTGAGCGAAACACAGACAACATGGGTAAAACACATCGCTGTCGATGACAAGCTGTCCAGCTTCAGATGTCTAAACACCAGCCCAACGGTGCTTAATCTGAGAATGCTGAGACACAAACCTGGTACAGTATTTTTCTCTTGGGTTTCTTAAAATCTTTTGTTTAACCAGGATACCATTTATTTGCAAAGTCACTGAAGAAGCTGCAGTGATTTACTTGTTTAGTGGGCACACTGCACTTTGCTGTGCCAGAGTCAGCCTTTGTGACCATTCAAAACCTGTGGGTCTGGTCTTGACTTGCTCTTGAATGCCTTCAGTTTGTTCACTCTTAAAATCAAGCTATTTAAGAAATGCTGTTGGGCTAAAGAGGCACAGCTTTATTATGGCGTGCTCTGTTTGGACATTAGTTCTGCACGCAGGATGGCTTGATTTCATGGACAATATAAAAGACCAAAATAAAATGGATAGCATTTTTTACTTTGACTACATAAGACCAAGAGGTACAATTATAAGTTCAAGTTACCTTAAAATCATCTTTGCCATTCTACCATTAAGCCTACAAGAAAATGACAGAATGACACTTAAGTGGCTGTTTTTCGTACCTTCAAGTTGTTGTAGTTGAAGTCACTCTGCTGGGTGCTGGTCATTTTGTAGCCCTGGTGGTAGAGTTCGATGACGCGGTCGAAGAAGTCGCAGAAGACGATATAGGACTGGGCGTCTCCTGCCACACAGCCCACTGACACTGGGCCTGTGGCATCCCCTGCACAACACCACACAGACACAAGCAGGCTCTCCCTGTGGCTCTCATGTCACACTGAGGCACAAGCCACCAATATATCACATATTGCAAATATATAAGGATTTGAAATAAAGTTGGATAAACTTCACTGGCAAAGTCATTTAGTCCCAAACCCAGCCATGAACACCATCTCTTTAAAGGTGATGTGCGCTCTAGTTTCTTTTCATTTTTTCTGTAATTATAAAACCCTCCAACAAAAACTGCGGAAATGGAGACATTTCTGAAACCTCTTTGTCAGAAGTGCCTAGAGGAGAAGCTGGCCGGGACTGAAGCATGCTTGCAAATCAGTGAAGGGCTCCCCAACACCAAAACGGTCTCCCGTATCATTCATGCCCTGAGAATTCCTCCTGAGCTGGGATGTGCACAGCAAGCTAAGCAAGAAATCTGACCAGAAATTGCACAGAATATGCATACGAGGATGGCATCCCGGGAGGCAAAATAACTGGAATAACATCAGCCAATCCCTTTACCAAGGATCGGAGTACCAGCCTGATCTGACCTGGGTCTTCAAGTCCGGGGCGGATGATATCATCGAAGGTGAATCCGCTGTCGGTGGCTCGATTGTACTGCCGTTTGTACATTTGAAGGGTCAAGACCTTCGCCATGAATGTATGGTTCCAACTCAGAGAAGGAAACTCCTCTTCAGGGGACAGCCTGTTCAGGCGGATCAAAGACATGGGGTCTACAGGCTTCTTCTCCTGTAATGACAGAGCAAACAGTGTCTGAAAAACCTTATTAAAGCTAAAGGTCAAAACACAGGGCTGCGTGATGCCAGCTGCTTTTTTCTTGCATTTAACGTCTTTCTTTATGTACTGTATTTTTTTCAGTGAGTGACTGTGTTTGATCCTACATCTTGTTTTTTCACATCTCTCTCGTCATTCAAATACAGAATACAACCTGGGTTTCCTTTATAAAATGACTACATTATTAAGTAAAGAATTAAATACCTCTAAAACAGGCTTGTATCTTCCGACCAGTGGGGAATCAACTGGAGCTACAATGCAAATTGTGAAGAAAAGTTTAAAATGTCCGATACGAGGCAGTTCCCAATAAGGTACGGTTTAAGCTGTTGTCAGTGCTTTACTGCTAACAACCTAATTTTTTGTGTATCATAAAACAGGGTCGTTTCCTCCAAGTAATTTTAGGTTTACACGCATTAAACAGATAAAGGTTTTGAGAGCAGAAAACAAAGAACCTTGATGAAAGTAGTTGTAAAAAGATTTTAAAACAAAAGGGTTCAACTTACGTCTGAGTTTCCACATTTCTGCAAATCAGTGTTGAAGAAAGTAAATTGTGTGAAAGAGGTCGAGGTCCCTTGCTGGCAGAGAGCCTGCTTGCTGGACAGGGGAGATATAAATAGTGTATTCCTGAGCCCACGCACCATTTGAGGAGACCTGACTTATTCCCCACCTGACACATGCGCCTTCACGAACTGGTACATCGTCTGGTTTCAGGTTACGCAGCAGAAACAATACGTCTATTTTTAAAGTTCTAAATTTGGCAGATGTGCTAGCTTTGTGCCTTCTCACTTGAGCTTGACCACAGATTAATGAGTAACACCCAATTTATTTTCCCCCGCAATTAATAGCCTGGATTTGAAGCTCAGCTTTGTGGTTGATGGTTTTATCTGAGGTCTTCACTTAGATCACTGCTATGTAGTACATAAAGCCCTGTAGTATGTTGGCCTTCATAAACTATGTAATAACCCCATGTAGAGCACAAAGTCTCTGCATTATCCCTGGGCTCATGAAATATAACAGTCCCTGTGGTCTGTTTAGCCTGTGTAAATCTTTCAGTTTCACATTCTGAGATTATTTGAAATGAGGATTTCAGGCATCCTAATCCAGGTTATGCTTTTCTAACCCATCCAAGTGTATTTCCAGTGAGTGACGCCAGTTTCTACAGTCAGCAGTCTTGAAATTGCAGAACTGTGCAGGTTAAATTCTATTCTATTCAATACCAGAACTACATTTGTTAAAAGAGACAGAATTTAAGAAAGTCTGACAAATGAGGGGCTAAACATATAGTGTACGTTCAACACTAGTTTCTGCCTTTAGACAAGAACTTTTAATTTCTCATGAGTTGTTAGCGCAATATACATTTGTTTTTATTTCAATCACAAAATAAAAATTACAAAAATAGATCGCCTTTATTTTTTAAAAAAAGCTGTAATGCTAATACATTGTCAATGCAGCAACCACAATAAGAATGCATATTCCAATTCAGCAAACATTGTTTACACAAATTGCAGCAGTAATGTGAATAAGAAAAGCGTTCACTGTGAAGTAAGCATCATGGAAAACTGTCTGGGGGTATGTGATTAAAATGACCATTACTAATGCACTCTTCCAGGAGCTAAAACACAAAGCAAAAACTAGAAAGTGTTGGTTGAACTACTGGTCCACAATTTAAAGGTATACTGTACATGCTGTGCATGAACTCACAGGCTTCAGACAAAGCTGGACGATACTCGTGGTTTGTAATTGGGGGTCAGAGTATGCCACCTCTGCAAAAGCTTAAAGTAATACTGCTTATGTGTCCCATGTCCTACTCGCTTGGTGCTGCGTTCTAAGAGTTTAGTAATATGCAAATATGTGTCTCTTAAGCGCTATAAAAAGTGAATGAGCACACAGGAGTCATCAGGACAGCATGAAATCCCTTCTACTCCAACCTGCATTGCCAGTGAGTGCATGGCTCTCGGGAGCATCTGCCAGAGAAGAAGTCAAATAAAGGCATTCAACTGATGTCTTACGTAGCAATACACTTCAAAGAACTGTTGTTCTAGACACATTTTGCGTATCCCAGAAATCCTGACTTAAAACAGTCTGCATGACATGGGAGAACATAACAGCAAAACAAAATATTGAAATATAGGTGCCAGATTTAATTTTTTTCCATATTTTAGCAATTTAACCTTTAAGTGGCGGGCAACTTAAGCACTGCTTCCTTTTAAGATATGAATCAGCAGTAGTAAAATAAGGGTAGAAATACACAATCAGCCAATCACAATGTACAGGCACAGGACTAACACAGGCGTTAATGGAATGAGTGACTAAAAAATGTCCCATTTCCTTTTTTTTTAGCAGTCTGTGGTTCGCTGCAGTTAATGGAAACTAGTAACCTAGTAAGCAGATTTGCAACAGAATGCTTTTGACCTTGTAGTATGAAAAGCATTTTGAATGCTTGCCTTTCATATAGAAATGTTCTGCTGACAATCATTCTAAATACAAATAAAAATATATATAATTTATAATTTATCTTATAGTTTTCTTCTCAACTGTAAAAAGTCTTAAATACCTATCAAAAAAAGGTGGCACAGGTTATACAGTATTTGAATCCTTTTTTAGGAAGCTGTAGTTTTGTATGAAATCTACTGATTACACTCACACAATGAAGCATTTAAAAAATGTTCTGTAATGTTCAAACCCATGCCAATAATGACAACAAATTCCTACTTAGGAGTTACAGAACATACAACATTTGAAAGTTGAGAAGGGAAATGAGATGATTCCACAGTAGATAAGCAGGTTTTTAAACACTTCCCTGTGTTTAAATAAAGCAGAAAAGCTTTTCACTAATTTGCAACAAAAGTAAAGCTGTCAAGGCCAGGACTGATCACAGACAACGACTTCTCATGTGGTTTACTGGAGGTTATACTCTGTGTCTGTAGCACAAAGTGAGATATTACACATTATGAGTTATTCTGGACAACTCAGTCACAGTAGAACCACAACAACTATTTCAGACATAACTAAAAAACTAAAACGATCCTTTTTTGTTATGAAAGTGTACTGTTCCTCATTTAGAAGAAAATCACCAGAAAGAGCTTTTTATGATGTCATGAGGCTGATACTCCTTCTCTGTAACACTGTTCCCAGTACGACATACTTTGTCCATTACTTCTTGTCTCGTACGTACTGTAGAATTGTCTGTTAAATATCCGATACAAATTTTAGCTTCAGCAATGCAGCTTATTCAATGCTGACTTGTAATAAAAAGGAAAAATAGTTACTTCCAACCTAAATTAAAAAGCCAAAGATATCAATGGAAAGGGTCACCTTCAGCTATGGACCATCACAAATACACAACTGTATGTGGTAGCAAGTGTATTGAAGCCTCTGAAGAAGTGATGCTATCAGATCGTTCATGTGAATAGCACCTGAAAGCCTTAAGTCTTTAGACACCGAACCCTAAAGATCGCAAATAGATACGTCTTTGCTGCCAGGCCAAGCTGTTTCAGATTGAAGCGCCGCGACAAATCGTGTTCAGTTACTGTCGCCAGTGGACACAGCAGGTGTGCCTTCAGAACAATGCTGACATGCAAATGAGCTGATAAAGCCCAGGACTCGGCAAACAGGGGCCCTCGCTTCAGAGCCACCTGTACTGAGGCTGTGCTACAGACACGTTGGGCGTTTTAGCAGCACGAGCTTTTCGGTTCAATTAAATTCAATCCCTTGCGGACAGTAACCAGAAAGAGGGGCAGACGGCGTGGGTGTCGGCTCCAGGGGAAGCCCCCAGCCCCTACAGGTCCTCGATCCCCGTCGTGTCCACCTTGACCTTCACGAACAAGGTCTCGTCTTTCACGTAGACGCCGTTTTTGGGGTTCTCCAAGTCCGCGTGCGAGACGAAGCAGGGGAAGCCCGAGGCCACGTTCATCTCGCCGGTGGGCCGGCGGAAGCTGTTGCTGGCCGGGTCGGGCTTGAAGTAGTCCAGGATGTCGCTCTTGTTGCCGCTCTGGTCCAGGATCATGAGGGTCACGGTCTGCCGGAAGGGCCAGGGCAGCAGGGAGTCGAAGTCTCCCCTCATCAGCACGATGTACAGGGACAGGTGGGTGCCCCTGCCGGCGCCGTCCCCGTTCAGGTAGGCCCGGGCGCACAGCTTGTAGCCGCTGCGGCTGGTGTAGAAGGGCATGCTGAACATGGAGGGCGCGCGGCCCTCCGCCGCCGCCTCCTTCCTCTTCTGGAAGTCCTGGATCTTCCAGATCAGCTTCCCGTTGTAGGACGTGGCTTCCAGCTGCCGGAACCTCTCGTCGTTCAGGTTGAGCTGCTCCATGTGGATGTTCAGCAGCCGGGAGTGCCGCTTGTACTGATCATCCAGGACGTCTGCAACAAGGCAGCAGCACGTTAGCGCTCTGAGCAGAAATATAAAAGATAGACATTGTTGCCGGAAAGAGAACCACAGCCTTGAAGTCTGTTGCTGACCTCTCTCCGTTGTAGTGACAGTGAGACGGGGGTGCGGTGTTGTGTGACAGATTACTACAGTCGTTGGCACTGGCAAATCAGGACGGTGTTGGGGACAGAGGTGGTGTAAAGCCCGTGTGGCTGGAATAGCAGAAACAAGCTGGTCGAGATCGCCCCTAGCTGTCATGATTATTCAAACCAATGGCTGCTCTCACCAGTGGCACAGTGCCGCCAAAAAAGCCAAGTTAGCACTGGAACGATCAAAGAACAGAGACATTGGAAAGTGTCTTTTGTTGGTTAAACCATAGTTTCTGGAAACAAAAAGTGCTTATTTGTCTACTGATTCTTTCTTTTTGTTTTAAGTTGCATTTGACACCCCAGATGCTAAGATGTCTAAGAAATAGCAGATAAGTGACAATCTACAAATGCGGTGGTGTCCTTTCTTGACTAGAGAAGTCAGGAGAACTGTCAAGCCCTGTGAACTATGAGGTCAGTGCTTCCCCTCACTCAGCGAAACGGTCTAGCAGTGGGTGGTCACCCGTATACAATTAATACCTGCAATTACTGTTAAAGCACAGGGGGGCGTGGTGACTTACTCAGGCGGTCTTTCAGCGACTCGATCACTGAGACCTGCTGCTTCAGGTTGTCCACAGAGGTCTTCAGGTGCCCCACCTCCGTGCGGATGGGGTCCTGATTGAAAGCGCGTGTGAGTTGCTGCAGCTGGATCTGGACACTGGACACTCTGTCCCTCTGCTCTTCAAGTGACCTCTATTGTGGCAGAAAGGCAAGACTGCTTGAGCAAACTGGCCTATGTCCCTACAATCATGTTAAACAAGCGATGATGTTTTACACAGTCATGGCAAAGCACCTGAGACAGGAATAAATAATGACAGACCGGTGGGTTTAAATAAAAGTTTGTACAGCTTTAACATTACAGTGTAGACAGGCTGGGTCATATTAGGGCCAGATAGTTTTAAGATTGCATTTGTTTTTATTCGTTCATGAAATGCACATAAAATACGAAATTCGAATTGATTTTATTCATGTAATAACTGTCCAGCGTTTTTAACAAAAAGCACAAATCTTTCAGTAAGAACATCTGAAGCAGGGCAAATATATCAGCATGTTTTCAAGGCTACAGCTTTAGTGTTAATTGTGCAATGGAATGTAAGGAATAATTACTGGAATATGTCAGATTAGCTGTTTACTGCCTTATCAGTTACAGAAAAGGCCTCAAGGTCTGTAAAGGTGAGATAAGAACTGACTTTTTAAAACTACAGTAATTAGTTTGCTCCTAATGAGGTTGTTAAGAGTAGAAGAGCCTGGAAGAACAGGTCAAAAATTGCCTGAGCCTGAAACAAACCATTCTGTCATGTACTACACGAGGCTGTCCTATATACATATACTATACTGTATAAATGAGTTAGTGAACTTCAGCTGTCTGTTCTGCAGGGCAGACACAATGCTACACTGCTGTGTGTATTGAGTTCACAAGCTTTTCTCCTACTCCTGTGTAGAGGAATTCCCCACTACAGCATTCATGTTTGAGGAAGTCTTCCCAGAGCTGCTACAGTGAGGTTGCAAAACCCATGATCCAAAGCACAGCTGTGCCTCACCTGTACACAGGAGAGCATGTTGTCGGTCTTGGTCACCTGCTGTATAAGTGGCTTGATTTCCTTCTCCAGGTTGTTGACAACACTCGTCAATTCTTGAAACTCGTGGTGCTTCAGGAGCAAAGTCTTTTGGAGATCGTCTATCTGGTGGGAAACCAGCGTGATGTTAGGCATTTTGAAACTGGAAAAATTTTGAACATTTTTTGAGTACCTCAGTTTGAACAGAGGTAGTCAAACTGAAAACCAATAATGACATCAACATGGTAACCAATACGCCTAAACAACACACTTCATCATTTCCAAACAGGCAGGAAAATATGAGAATACTACTTTTTACTTCAGGTACTGTACATGAAGACAATGGTACACATCCTCTGATCGAAGAGCTCAGGCACTTACGGTACATAAAAGGCCTTCATTAGTGATTTTGGCTACTGTTAGGTTTGGCCAATTAATTTAAATACTTAGCTCATTTAAGTAATTAAGAACATCTGTGGAATCAAACCTGCAAGTCTTAATTCTGACTTGGATCAGTCTCACCATTGTTACCTGTTTTTCCAGCTTGAAGTTACTTTCCAAAACAAGAAGCAGATGGTCTTTCAAAGCTACATCTTCATGGGCCTCCACATTTACTCGTTTTTCCTACTTAAAAAAAGGAAATACAGTTATACCGGTATTTAAATGGGAAAATAAGAATTGCACAGAGGAATACAGTTGTTTTGCCTGTAGGGATCTATTTTGCTACACTGAGGACCAATGTAAGGTTTACCTTTATTCTTCAAGAACAGCAACAACATTGTGTATAAAACATTTCCTCAAGCTTAAAGAGTTCCCGCGCTGTCTTTCGGGAAAATGTTAATGATTAAGACTTACAGAAAAATGACCAAAACGAAAAAAACACAGAGCTCTCATGTCTCTTTATTTGCTTCATCACCAGATGATTAAAATTGAGATATTTCATCACGGAGAGCTTACATGAAGTCAGAAACTGTCCTGCCCTTTTAATAAAATGAATGACTCATGCCAAAGTCTGTGGTGGTATTAATCAAAGATCTGAGTTTGGCACATTTTGTGAATAGATAAGAGTATTATTTATACCAACCCTGAAAAAGCAGCCGTATTTCTTGTATGTGCAGTCGATTTCAACCTGGGGGCATTCTTGAAAATGGTCTTTCAGCTGAAATGTCAAATGATGGTAAACAAAGAGTGCAAGTCAATTAACACGTTTCCCAGCAGCCAGAAGCCTTATCAGCAGCAGGGAGAAGTCTTCAGGTCAGAAATGTTGGTTTGTCAATATCCAGCATAATTAGCAGTCAATGCATGGAGTTAGCTTTAGTGAATACAGAAATATTACCCGTATGTAGTTACTAATGTTTTCATTAATATTTTATTTGAAGCAGTATCTTATTTGGACTATATATACAAATTTACGTACATATAAATTGGACAAAATGTTATCATGAACTTTGTGATTGAAGATGATATTGACAGGTCAGAAGACACATTCTAAGATAAAGAAATTATCTTTTAACAATAAGCAAATTTGACAAATATTTGAAATAATATTAATATTGCCCAGCATGACAGTAAGAAATAAAAACAGGATTCTAAACAAGATTTTCTCTTAAGTCATTTCAGTCTTGCAGTATCAGAAGAACTGTACTCATATCAGTGATAGAGGATCTCACTTCCTTTTGTGTTTTCAGCAATGACTACGCTACTAAGAACAGGCAACCTGCTAGCTAAATCAGCTAAGTGTTACTTTTTTCTTGAGAGAAAAAGAAACGTGGCACATCAGTATTAAACAAGTATTAAAAATATTTTATTAAACAAGTTCTACGGAGAAAGAACTTCAATTTTCTCCTGTACTAGGCTGATCTCTAAATCGGGCATTTTTTGTCAGACAACAGCTAAAATCTATTAACAGAAGTTTAGTGATTTCATTTCTAAAAAAAAGAGTACAAAGCAGTTTGCTGGCTACAGTACATCTGATTTTCTTACCTTGTGTCTTTTTATAACCTGAGAACACTTGTTGGGGCACTGAATTTTGAAGTCCGGACAGTTGGTGTCTTCATGATCCTAAAAATGCAACCATTATCAGAGTTGAGACAGGGCAAGCAAAGCGTTGCCACAGAGAGAAACCGCACTTGCTGGAGCTCATTAGAAAGCAGCTGGAGATGGGGCAGCACTCTAACTCCGAGGCTCCATACCCTGGTCCTGGGTGAACTCTGTGTCTTCCGTCTTCCAGCTGAGTTCTTAATCACAGCCTGACTAATTTTAGTTTCCTATCTGGGGCATATCAGTAAATTTGCTTCCAGCTCTCAAAACATCAAACGGGATTAGTAATCAATATCAACAGTGGACCAATTTTGCAGTTTCATAGCAGTCCTCATGCAAGAGTTTCCTGAAATTTAAGCCACTGGACCTCTGCAAAGGAAAACATCCATTGCAGGCGAGTCTGAGGTCGTTCCCACCTGTGGGCGTGTCTGAGGTTGTTCCCACCTGTCGGCGTGTCTGACGCAGACGGTCCCACCTGTGGGCGTGTCTGACACAGATGTTCCCACCTGTGGGCGTGTCTGACACAGATGTTCCCACCTGTGGGCGTGTCTGACACAGATGTTCCCACCTGTGGGCGTGTCTGACACAGACCTTCCCACCTGTGGGCAAGTCTGACTGGGTCGTTCCTATCTGATTCTGTTCATCATCAACTGATCAACTAGTAAGATCTACTAAGACAGAAATAATGCCCAGCCAGTCGAGGAGAGAAGAGCAGCATGAACTTCAGTGTACTGAAGCAGTTGAAAACACAACACTCAGGACAGACTGAAGAATCAAGTGAAACAGAAGTCTAAAGAAGCAAGCAGATCAATGAAGTCATCGGTTAGCAATGAAGACTGAGAGCACAGCTGGAGTGGTAACCAGCAGACACAGCTTACCTGCAGGACCAGGGCTGGGAACTACTGCTTTAACTATTCCAACCAGACAAGCATTCCACAGTAAAAGGTCTTGTGCTTACCTTTAACTGAATCAGCATATAATGCTTCTCACAGTGTGGACAAGATTCCATGCGGTAGGCACAGATGCTCATCAGATGTTCCCTCAGATCCATGCGGAACATCACGTCCGTGCAGCCTATGTTGGTGCACTGCACGGACTCGTATGGACAGTGCTTCAGGTGCTCCTGGGATACAGAAGGGAAAGTGTCACAGGACTAACAAAAACCAGAACGGCTACTTCAAGGACAAGATGCCCCTTGGCCTTTTCTGCTGCAGTAGGTATTAGAGGGGATCATTCAGCAGTATTTTTTTATTCGATACTTCATGGCTACTCGTGTTGACTTGTTATTTGTCATGCTGTGTGGGATCAAACATTATCATTGAAACTTGAGTGAAAATGTGGCTGGAAAAAAATAAAATTCCCCGTAAAAGATAAAACAGGTGTTTTGTTTCATCTGAAAGCTGCGTCCCCTTTCTGTCAGAAACAGAAGTCAGTGGACTGGGAGGGAACTACCACTGGTTACTGTCATGATGGTGGGGTAGAGGCAGAGGAAAATGTATAGAGCAACTATAACCATACGTCATGAATTCATCCTTCATGTCAAAACTGTCAAAAAAAGTATTCATAATTTGTGGGGATTATGGAAAGTAATTCTGATGTTATTTATTATGTGAATAAAATTGCAGTGAAAATGCAGGAGCCAAATATTCAAATACTACATGATCAGGACCTTTCTCTTGATGATGTATGAAATAACATTTACTGTACAATTCCATCCTGCCAATTTAGTATCAGATTTTCTCTTCTTCAGGAGCTTGGGTCACATACCAGATTCTATGATACTTTCTCCTCTGCAGGAGCTTGGATCAAGTATGTTACTAATTAATCTACTGTATTGTGCATGTTATTAATAAAATGGTTGCAATCTTTCCCCCAAAATACAGAAGCAGATTTACCGTATTCAATAATTAAGAATATTCCAAAACATAAATTGTCTTACCTGCAAACGCCCTAAGGTCACCTTCAATGTACAGTCCGGCGCATTGGCACAGTATATTTCCAAGTTCAATATTTCTCTTTTACAGCAGTTATCTTGAAAAACCTACAGAAAATCCAAATCCCAGGATGAGCTCAATGTTTAACCAAACCAATATTGTCTACTTTTTTTTAACAATACGAACAAAGCTGTACACTGTATTAGCATCTCATATGATCCAGGGTGTTCTGAAATTCAAATCCAAATTCAAATCTTTCCGGTAAAAGAATGAAAATGTTCATTCTCCAGACAGCGTACACTGTATTAAATACTGTGGTAATATCAAGATCTAAGTACAGCCATTGTCTAGTTTGTTTGCCTTATACACCACAACAGGGAATAAATGCAAAGGCCACACCTGAAGGAGCTACAGTAACAATATTCCACCACATGGCTATAAAATATTCTATATAAGATCTTACCTCATTCGCCTTTATCAAGGCATTATCTATAGGGCATTTAGGCATTGTGGTGCTCTCCCTTGAAAAAATGAAAGACAGTCAATTAAACAACCCGGTTTCTCCCCCCATATTAATAATCTAAGAACTACCTGCAGCTTTTTGGGATACATTTATAAGCTAGTGTCTGTTCCAGGATAAACAAGATCTTTCTTGATTTTCTGGGGTAGCAGCAGGAGTTTACATTGAAAGTGGTAAACCACCCTGCTTAATCAGAATTTCTTACATCTGCGCAGCACATCACAAAACACACTATACTGTACTGTATATAAAAATCCCTTCATCCTCCACTGAAGTGCAGCCCCACCTGGGGAAACGTTAGGGAACCTGCCAACTATACAAGCCCAGAGTGCAACATGGCCAGGACACTTTTCAACACTTAACACTCCTGCCACTTCAAGCACTGTCATGGGTTATTCTATGCCAAAGCACTCACGATCTACTTAACACCTGGCCTGAACTTTTTTTAAGAACTAAGTCACAAATGGGGTAGTCATTAATAAAATGAAAATTCAAACAAAAAAATGGCTTGATGAGATATCCATGTCTGTGTCAGTAATTAAAGTTTCACTGCGCGCTGAAAACCGGGAAGAAAAAAACAGCCAGAACATTGTTTCTTCTTTCTACTTTCCTTCATGCAATTGTTCTTCAGTTGTTCCTCTAATGGCAATCTATGCACCTGAAATTTTTCACAGAAAGACCAACTGCTCCTTTTCTTACAGGAAAGCTTTGATGCACTGGTAGCAGAAGATGTGCCCGCAGCCCGTCTGGTGGGGGTTGAGCACCACATGTCCGCAGCTGGGGCAGACGTACTGCTCCTCCAGCTTCTCCACAAACTGGATGTTCCGGGCCAGCAGCGCCGGGTCCAACTCCGCGGACACGGCGACGCCGGAGTTCTGGCGCGACAGACCTCCCGCGGCCGGGCTCTCTTCGGAAGCCATCGGGGCCTGGAGACAAGAAACGGGACACCAGAGCGCCGTGAAGCTGGGCCCCCCCTACAGACAGCACAAACGATGCTTCGGATTTTGAAAAGGGACACAGCTACGAAATAGTGAGGCGTGCTGGTTACAGCCTCTTTCTAAGAACATGCAGTTGCTTGCCAATGTTCGCCCTTTTTAGGCTGCACCCGCAACTGTTCTGAACAGGGTATGACATTGGTGACAATTTTAATCTTCCTGTTCACGCAAACGCACGGAAGATGCTGGAATTAAAAGCAAAGTCCACCGCCGCCCCTCAGCCGGGCACACAGAGAAACGCAGCTGCAGAATTGTTACTCTGGCACCGGTGACAGGGCGCTTGAACGCGGCAGACGGGGTCACTGGAGGGCAAGGTCACCCGAAAAACAAGGCGCTATATTTCGGGAACGAAAGCAGCTGGGAAGTTACTTGCAGCGGCACAAACGCAGCACTAACGAACGGGACCGGGTTGGTTCACCCCTACGACGTTGTAGCGGGACTGAGTGACGTCACGACCCCCGAAAAAACAAGGCGCTACAGTGTATATCTCGGAAACGAAAGCGGCACAAACGCAGCACTAACGAATGAGGCCGTCTGCAGGGGGGGCGTCTTCACGGAGCTGGACACAAGAGCACGGCGGTGAGGGGGGAAAGGCAGATCGCCTTTCTGCATCCCAACAGTTCTAGGATTCGTGCATGCCAACCCCAAAGCGATTTATGCACGGTTACCTATCCCATTACCCCACAGGACACCCCAAAAAAGTAGGTGGTTTCTAAAATATACTTTGTGGGTTTCTGTTTTTGTATGTTGTCCATTTCAAAAGACAAAAAGCTGTTTGGTTTTCATGGAATTGATTTAAAAAAAAAGATGTTCGGCTTTCACAGTTAATTTTCTTTATTTCGGGCGTATTGCAAATATATAGTTTTTTTTTTACACAGAGTCCCGGGATGGGGCACAGTAATTATTTCCATGGCTGTTAACACCTTAGATGCGAACGCTGTTTTAACAGTTTTCTCGGTAGAAACACAGGAAGGTTCAAAATAACTTCGGAGGATTTGTAAACAAGCAGAGGAAACGCAAGTGGCAAAAGCAAGGAGACTCAATCTCTTTGCCAACATATTCTCCAATACGGCTGCCACGCTTCCGAAATCGTTGCTGTACTTGTCGTTAAGTGCTGCTCTTACCATTGTAGAAAGCAAACTTGTGCAGAGTTCAGTAGCAGTATAGCCTATTTTATATCTCTCACAAACAGCAAGCGGTGAGCTTTAAACGTAAGTATAAAACGAGTAATATAAGAATGTTAGACATCAGTGATCAGCCTGGCATTATTCTAGTACACGACAGTTTTTTGTGTTTGTTTTTTTCAGCGAAAGGCAGCGCCGCACAGGAAAAGTCCGGCAGAAATCCCCACTGATTAATCTTGAAAACCGTCTTTCCTCAGGATACACGAAACCCGACTGTTCCCCTTTTCAAAAAAAAAAACCTAAAAACGTAAAAAAAACGGTTTCGAAAATCCGTAAATACAATGAGTCGTGCGGCTGGATATGTACTTATACTTTATGCGTAGGTTATATTTTACGTTTTCACGGATAATTTAAATTTCTGTTCATAGCCTTCTCTCGATAGATCACCCTCCAACAGGAAAAAAAAACTTGAAACGCTGTTTTTGTTGTGTAGAAGGATCGCAAATAACATTAACGAAACTTGATCTACCCAGTAGCGAGAAGGATTGTGTTTGAAAATAACGACTGAATCGATCAGCTTATCACCGATATAGTAAATAATCAGCAGTCCATTCATCCATTCAAGAACGTAATAGGCACTTAAAATGTCATCACACTTTGAGTTCTTAAATGACACAATTCATATCTGTTCTACAAATATGACTAGTGACACTTAAAGCATAATATTGATATAGGAAAAGTTATTTTTGATTCGCCCACTTAAAATCTGCCTTTCAGTATTTAGCATTTATATCGATAGCATCGCTCATCTTAAGATGTAAGATTTGGTCTCCCACGCGCGATGAAATCATTTTCACTTCGTTTTTGTCTCAATTTCCCCGAAAATGCGAGGATTCAAGGTATGATTATGAGGTCAGAAACGTCTGTGAGCGACAGTTACTTGTGCCTGCAGGTCTGAACGCCTGCTTATACTCGGGACGGGCTCGTCGGCAGCACGATGTTCCATTTTTCGCGAACGGTTTCAGGCTGCAAGCTTCAGTCCTTCGGCCTTATCGTTGCCCATTTCTCATGCTTTATGTCGATATTGTGCTTTTTCACAGTCGTGCCGTTCCACAAAGAACAACGCGTTCTCGTCGAGAGGGGGATTCCCCGCGGGCGGGTGAGACCCATTCAGTACCAGCAGCAGTCACGCACTCGCAAGCTGGATCTTTGCGCCTGCCAATTCCACAGATGGGAGATATACTCATTAATCGGACGGCCTATTAACATTCAACCCATTTATTTTCTAACCTGGATTTCTGGTCAAGTCGGGTGGCAGCAGGACCCCCTTTTTTTTTTCTTTTTTACTTTCGTTTTCCATGTAGTGAAACATAAAAAAAGCCTGCATTGGCCAGCAGAATCCTCTTACCTGACGGACGTCTTTAATTCGCGTCGAGGTGCCCGCCTGTGAGACTGCTGCCCCGGCTCACCTGTCCTGCCGGCTGCAGAGGCGGCGGGAACACTGTGCTTCAGCCGGACACCAGCCTTGCGCCGCGACCTCGGCTCCTCTCCGCGCTGATGCGCTCGCAGCTGTAACGCTGAGGAACTACGCAGGAAGTCGCATGTAGCGTTTAATTTATAAGGGAGGTGTGAGGCGTCTTTTTATGAAGCGCCTAGTCTTCCCTCGTACCCACGCATTATTTTTTTTTATAAGCAAAGATGACGACATGAAAGCATGAAAGGACCGACGCGCGCTAATAATACATACACCATCAAATAGACGCAACCATTTTAAAACATCGCTACATTATAACGCACACATATACGACTCCCGTAATTATTTTAAAAATATAGTTGAAATTCACGTAAAATGTGCATATACAGATATGGTACGTTATTACTATAAGCATTGGTTAAACATTAGTTCACACTCACACGTTTTAGACTTTTTAAAATAATACTAAACATACACTACAGCATCTTTCATCACTATATGTCACAGGAAGTGCCTTTTTCCTCTACCGGTGCTTGGTTTGTCGTCCAACGTGATCGTGTCGGATATAGAGCGACTTCTCACTCTGTGAAGACCAGGAACTGAAATAGCTGGTGAAGTGCCCTCGTTGCTCTGCCGAATTTAATGCTATATTTTCGGAAACTCACCATCTTTTCACGCGACCAATGGGCACACGTTTTTTTCCCTTAAAAAAAGATCAGGCAATCAATTGTTAGCAGACCCTGTCATCTAGAGACAACCCGTAAACTAATAACACAGCTTGGCTTGAATTTACCGCATCTGCCTCACAAAATCTGCATTTTGATCTTAACGGTATTAAAAGATTAACACAATCTCTTATTGCAAATATTTACTAACAACGTTCGGTGCTTGACGGGTTAATCAAGGTGGCGCAGCACATGGCTATTAACGACGTTATTGTCACTATCAATAGGATTATAAACCACTGTACACGTTTGTTATAGTGGTCGAGTGATTTACAAAATAATGGTTTAGTACTGAATAAAGTATAAGCACAGAAATCCCGTCCAATCGGTAACAAAAATATGAAAACTCCGTGGTGAAAACGTACGCCGTGCATAGTACATCGTGCATACTCTTAGCCGCTCCATTTTAAAGCGCAGAAAATGTCACCTACCTAGTCTGACCTGCAGTTTTAAGACTTTTCAGTGCCTGGAGGAAAGACAGCACACATTCTGGGTTTACACACACATCACAGCAATCGGAGCTACGCGTCAGGGTTTGCCAAACTTGACTGAAATTAAATCGAGGATGCCGAGGACGCAGGGTCCCGTGGCAGTTAATACTGCCGTCTCCCAGCTTCCGCGTCCCTGGGATTGATTCCGGACTGGAGGGACCCTCTGTGTGGAGTCTGCATGGATCTCGCAGCGTATCCATGGGCTTTCCCTAGGAGGCCGGGTTTCTCCCACCTCCCAGAGACAGGCTGGTGACATTAACTGGCCTCTCTCAATTGTCCCCTCCCGAGTGTGAGCAGCCCACAACACACTCTGGTCGGTGTGGACGCTGCAAGGTGTAGTTTCACCCAGTGCTACCAGGAAAGACTCCAGGGCTGGCGTCCGTCCTGCAGGGCTTATTCACATACAAGTACTGCCGTTAACACGGAGCATGAACCCCTATGACCGAACATGCCCAATTAGTGCTCTCCGTCAGCTCTGCAGTACCATATACACCCAAACCCCCTCTTCCCAGCACTGCACAGATCCCATTCTGCACTTGTCATATTCGATTGCTTTCTTAAAAAGTGCACTTGCTAAAAGGAAATACAGTAACAAAAAAATCAATTAAAAAAACAATAGTGCAAAGACTACTTAGTTTAATGCATTGTTATAACATCTAGCATGTAATGGATGTAACCATCAAATAGCAGTAAACCATGACAGTTTATACATGCACAGACAATACATACAATTTAAGTACTTTTTTAATGCCTTTCACCTTGCAAAGTACATTAACTATAAACAGAGGGTACTTCCACTATATACAAACAGATAACCTATATTGCAGTTACATTTTGAGGTTTTCAAAAATTGTGTGCTGTTTATTCTAAGTACAGTACAGGGACCTTTATTTTAAATTTTAAGTAGCACTTAAAACAGAGTTACAAAGTACGGAAAAGTAATAACGTAAAAGATGTTTTCCCCCGCAGTCTCTTTCCCTAAGGACAGAGAGGTAGTTACATAACCACAGTGTAGCAAACTAGCTTAATATTATTATGTTCAAGTCTTGTTAAGATTCCAAGATCTATACTATGAAATGCTACACACCGTAACAATTGAATACAGAAACTGAGCCAGGCCTACCGACTAATCTAAGGTTCAGTAACGGTCCAGAGACCACCGTCTTTGGAACATGTTAGTTACAGAAAGTAAGAAGCTCATAGCTAAAATACGTGGTGAAGACCAGGAATGTCATTGAGGCTGCTTTACGGTACAGTTCGACAGGTAAATTCAAGCCTGGGACATCAGTAAATCAAAAGCTTTAGTGTCATAAAACCATAAAAGCACTTCAGTCCTGCATTTCAACAACTTTTAAAAGTTATTTTTCATGGAAATGCATTTTAAAATGACATTCTCGCTTCACAGAGTCAAAGCTGAAAGGGCTTGGATCAAGATTAGGTTCTGTATCCCAATGAGAACTGGAAGTCTAAGTACTTCTCCGGTTTGTTTTTTTTAGAGTAACCTTTGATGGGGTCGACTCAATTCGATGGTACTTCCATCTGTTCCGCCTTAAAAATCTTCTTCAAAAATACCTCTAACGCTTTTGACAGAAAAAAAAAAAACAGAACTGGGATAAAAATGAACAGTGGAATTTCAATCAAAAGCAAAAGCATAAGCAAAGAGTCATTCCAGAAATTATTTTTAAATAAAACAAATATCAAAAACCTAAAAAAATAACCAAAAGAATGAAAATGCTACTCTCTAATTAACAAAAGGAATGATTTTTACAAGACATTGATCTGAAAAACAAGCACAATACTTTTAAGATGCATTCTGAAAGAACAGTAAAAAAAAGTCCAAAGAGGGTCTTGATTGAAACTGAAGCAGAAACATTAAGGCAAATTAAACCAGCAATGAGTACCAGAAAAACTGCCTACAGCCATGAAGAAACAGTGGCAAACAAGAACAGCTTAGGCTTGGAACAGGTTCATGATCGTGAAAGAAACGTCTTACTGAAGTATTCATCTTCCAGTCATTCATGTTCATTTCCATATTTTGTTTTCCTCAAATGCTCATGATTAAAACAGGGTTTTTTTGCACTTGGTAACCTATGAAGCCTTTTCAGGAATTAAAAATGAACACTTAACCAGATAGTAAGTTACCAACAGCAGCTTTTCACAACCATCTCCCGCCTGCATCATCATTCCTTTCACATACACTTGCACTATAGTTAAAAAATGCTTTCCAAGCACTAAGAGCATAAGGTAGCGGTTACGACTCCACAAGTTCAAGTGAGCTCCGATCCTTTAGCACATACTCTATTTTCCATAGCTTACTGAAAGAAAGGGAAAGCATTTGTTCCGATGCCAGCCAAGTTTCAACATTAAAAAGAGGGAAAGACACTAAATGCCATTTAATGAAACAATATAGGTTCAACAAAGAAATATTCCTGTTTCCGAAAAGACAACCCACTGAAATACAAACACCTCAAAATGGAATGCAACGCTTTTAAAACATTAGGTTTTTTTTGTTTTCCCTTCTCGGCAATTATTAAAATAAATAAATAATTAGAAAACAATCTTTCAATATCTGCTCCCAAACGTCAGTCCTCCATTACCCGAGTGTACGGGCAAGGCTGACGCATTCGGTTTCCAGTTTCGAGATCTAGTTGGGCACTGCTCATCTCACTCTATGCTAGAAAAGAGAAATACAACTTTAAAACAACAAAAAAAAATACTTCTGTGTACTTAAGAGCACTTTTATGGTGATAATTATTCTGCGCATATGCAAAATTAGTCAGGAGTCCATAGCACCAAGTAGAAAAATAAATAACTGCTTATATACACAAGACCAATAACTATTAGTTCTATATTAAAGAAATCAGCATTTTGATACAGTAAATAACTGAGCTATTAAAAAAAAAAAGAAAATCCAGCACATATCCATTATTTGTTTTACGCTCGTAACGTAAAATACATCTCCCCAAAAACGCTGCCTCTTACTTGATGCAGTACGTGTTAATGTCTTATTCCTGCTTTGTAGTGTTTTTATTTTGTTGCTCAAACCAAATGGAGAAAAAACTTTAAAAAAAAAAACCTTTTTGGTAGCTGGTTTCAGCAGAATGGGTTGGTCGATACGTGACGCTTAAGATTTTCCAGGAAAATAAAAAAAGGTACTTTACGGATAACATGAAAACACTCCCCCCCACCACCCCGGCTCGACGATTTGCTTATTTCTGAGACACAAACTCTTTGGACCGGCAATGCAACACACTGCGGCTCTCACCCTCTTGCAGTTTTGCACACTGTGCTCTGCTCCATCAGCATGAGCTCTACTCGTAGGAAACGAAAGGGGACATTTTCAGCGCTGCCGGTCCCGCGAGGGCTGTCCACGCCGCGCCAGCTCAGTGAAAGGAGGACGACGGGGTCTCGGCCTGGATCCCGATCAGCGTGGGCAGCTGCTGGCCGCCGACGGCGGGCAGGACCGGCCGCGGGTTGAGGCGGGGAGGCATGGGGCTGGCCGGGCG